TTTATTTATTTATTTTGTGTTTAGACTTCATCGGATATAATAATCTGTGTAGAGTTTGACAGAGAGACATTAGTGAATAATGATTAAACGTCAAAGCTGGCCATTACTTTTGAATCTTCAATGCCAAGTTGTTTAATTTCATCCAAGGAATCGAACGTGTTGGCAGCGGTGTTCTCATTAGTGGTTAGGAGTTGGGTGATTCGGACAAAGAATTTAGCAACGCATTAATAAAGGACACGATAGGCCTAAGAATTGTCCATATAAACGACCGGGTTGAGAGACGGCAGCAGAAATGAAATGGTACATTCTTTCAAAGTTATAATTAGATGTATTAATTGATGATACGATAGGCCTATGAGGTGTACCTTTTTTGTCCACTTTAACGATCGGGTCAAGAGACAGAAGCAGAAATACATGTTTTCGCTGATTGTTTGTTTTAAAAGTTCGTAAAATTCTGTTGAGTTTATCCTCAAGTTTGAGGAAGTTGGTAATCAGATCGACATTTAGAAGTTTGAGTTTAGACGAGTCTGAAAGAATGTTAGGTATGTTGTTATAGTAATCAGTCTTGTTCAGGATAACTACGCCTTTTCCTTTGTGTTTTCTTGTCAATATAATTATAACAGAGTGGCTATAAGTTAAGTTAGTGGCCTAAGTTATGCAGACGCCTTCTTGTTTCATCATGAATGTAATTGGATAAGTTACAGCCCAAATGATTTTAAACTAATATTCTATAAAAGATAAAGAGATGACACATTTCATCTGTTCAAACGACACCTAACAATTCCTGCCATACCTAAATGAACAACATCCATAAATTAAGTTTACGTATGAAACAGAAAAGGAAAATAAACTTTCCATTCTTGACATACAGATTCCAAAGAAAACGGTGTACGGTACTACGGTTTACAGAAAACCAATTTCACTGGTTTCAGGATGAACTATTTAAGTTTCTCACCCCTGAAATACAAAATTAACATCACTCCAATCAACAGAGCATTTAAAACCTGCTCCACCTGGCTCCAATTTGATAACGAAATGAAGTTCTTGATTTAATTACACAATAATTGAATATATGGGTGAATTATAAGAACGAGCCTACCTCTGAGCAGACCGTCTTCCTCCGCTGTCGCCAATATTCTCACGCAGAAGACCACCTTTACACTCAGTGATTTCAAAATTTTGTCAACAACATTAATAGACTCGACCTTCTCATCTTCGAATCCCTTTACATCCACGAGATGAAACCTGAACTAAATAACAGCCATGCAATTGTTTACGGTATAATTCAATCACCGTAACGACCATTTCACACTTGTCAGGTATGTCTCACGTTTAAACACAAGTTTTGTATATTTTCCACAAAGTTTCTACCCTTTCCCTTTGTTCCATTTTATTACCTATTTATTGTTGCCCATTTTATTAACAAATTTTCCATGTATATATATATATATATATATATATATATATATATATATATATATATATATATATATATTCATATCTATTTACATATACATATATCTTGTTATTATGTACATTTATATGTGTATAAACATATATGTGTATATATATGTATGTATGTGTGTGTGTATATATATGTTCACCGATTTACATACCCACAAATGTATATGTGTAGACAGACAACTGCATACGCATTTTGATAATTATCCAAAGAGTGGCTGATATGCTTTGGAAATTCTATGAGCTAAATATCACACTCAGTGTGATTCTATTTCATAAATATATTATGGAATATCTCCGACCACATGTATTCTTTCATCTCGTTTTGAAATGAAAGTCGTCCATTGTGTTTGGAAATTGTTATATATACACAAAATAATCTTCCATTTGTAACAAGAATTTTAAGATTCTTTCGTTCACGTAAATGTCTTAAAAATTGTGTAATTGTTTTTCATTATTTTTATTTGATTTTTTTTTCTGACTATAATCTCTTTCTTTGTGAGTAGCACCATCTGAACGATTTCAAAAATCAAAATTATTTAAGGATAAAATTCTTTCATTTGTGTTATTCCTCCTTCGCGAAGGTCTTTCAAACACCACAGGTGAGTCGAAATCTACTTCACAGCGGTTTGTAAGCCAGTGACGGCCACCCTCCGTGAATGGCGTCCACCTCCTTGAAGAGATGTCGTGCTACACCTCAGAAGGCCTTTTGCTGACCTGTTTGCTCTTGGGTCACGGCAGGGCAAGGCGCTATCTGGAAAGCAGACTGCGATTAGCGTTTGACACGAGCGGCAAAAGCAGCGAAATCCAATCTCAGTTGCTTGGCATTGCATATACGTAAAACATTTATACATACACATTAATACAGACGCGCACGTACGCACACGCACGCACGGACACACACACACACACATACACACACACACACACACACACACACACACACACACACACACACACACACACACACACACACACACATATCTATATGCATATATGCCCATTGTTGTCGTGGGACCCAATGCTGGGGATCACCCCTGCCTTGGGCCTCAGCCCTCGACTCAACTCGTTTTCACGGTCCTTTACCCTTCCCCTTTGCCCTCTCTTCTCTAACCTCTTCTACTATCCAATCCCTAAGGTGTGAGATCCGTGTTGAGAGGATGAAAGGCTGACTTTGTGCCAATCAACCATGGCTAACTCAAATGGGATCGATTTTTCGTAATTCCGCAGACATGACCTCCCCTTTAATGTTTACGATGGCGGAGAGTCCTTCCCCTTCCGACCATATCACTCCCTCCCCCCCCTTCCCGTCATTGTTAGAATTGTTGACGTCTAGGCTGTGAACAATACGTAGCAAGACCGGATGGCAGATTCACACCTCGGTCCAAGCAAATGCCTTTCTCTTTGCGCAGGATGTAGGTGCTGCCTTCCTTTCTCTTTCCGCACAGGATAAACATCCGCCCTCCAAGTAAACCGCCGCATAAAAGGGCACGCGCCTAAGACGAGGGGGAGACACAGAGACAGGGGGACACGGCAGACAGGCCAAGCCACACAGGGTCCAGCTCCACCACCTCGTCCTCCACCCGGGGACACGGAGGTCTCTTGAGGGTCTCATATCTATCTTCAGAAATAAACCAGCAAGTTAAGACCCCTTTCATTGACCGCCCCAAGACCATCTCTGTTACGCTTACATCTAGTGGCTTGTGATGGTCACTTACGCTTACATCCTGCCAAACACTGCCGTCCCACCGCCCGATGCCCTCTCTGTGCCCACTCTGGTCATAATGTATTTTGAAGTGGCAATTCTCAGATTCAAATTTGGCCTCACTTTACACGAAGTCAGGCAGGAAGCACGTTGACTCTCAACTCCAATAATGTCGTTCGCTATGCCTCTCCCCTTTCCCCCTAAGATGTTTCTACATCTCCCCCAGTATCTTTTCCACATCTAACTTCTACCCGCTCCTTCTCCCTGTCAAATTCTTTTGCCATTCTAAATCCAGACACCCCAGTCTCCACCACTATCCCAGACGCTACCCGGTACCTACCCCATCTTCTCCTACCCCATCCTCTGCTCTATCAACCTCCTCCTCCACCCCTCAGATATTAGTCCCCTTTTCTCTCCCTCCCCATAAGAAAACCTTTGTTTCTCAGACCTCCCTAAGACATTCAAAACCATCTAGTCATGACCTAGGATACTATACCTACACCTCATCCATCCCTCAATCTCTGCTTCTATTCCCTCTACACTCAAAGTAACTGCCGCCATCCATCCTCCTCCTACTTACGTTCTCCATGTACTCCTTCCATTCCCTCCCAACTTATCCTATCTCCCCGCCTGCTTCGGCTGCATCATCCCCCTTCCTTCCCCACCATCCCTTCCGCTTCCCCCATAGATACGCACAGCCCTTTGTCACAGCAGCCCTCTTCCCTGAACTCTTGAACTCGGATATTTTCCTGAAAGTGTCCTCTAATCGCCCTTAAACCGCTTTCTCCTTTGCTAATCCCTACCTTACCCGTTGGACATCCTTGCAAAACATACTTCCCTCCACCTGGCTCGTTTCCCACAGGGTGATCCTGCCCACCGGGTTGTCTCTGTTCGAGACAACCCAGGGTGAAGGAGGCCTGTGGGACGACCTAGGAAGTCGTGGATTGGGCAGATCGATCAAACCTGTCGTGAGGAGCTAGAAATGGGCCGGCCCCCTCCTGGCGGCTCGCACACACACATGCACACGCACACGCACACGCACACGCACACGCACACGCACACGCACACTCACGCTCACACTCACACGCACACGCACACACACACATATATATATATTTATATATATATATGTATATATATATATATATATATATATATATATATATATATATATATATATATGCATATATATATTTATATATATGAGTGTGTGTGTTTGTGTGTGTGTGTGTGTGAGGAGGGGGGTACACACACACATACTGGTCACGGACAGTTAGTAAGGGCCTCCCCCCCGGGGCGCTTGTCTCTCTGCCAGCTAGTCTTGGAAGGAAGGCCTCGCTCCGGCCCTTCCGAACCATGAATATATGTGTCTATACAAACATAGTGATGTAGAACCAAATAGATTTACTTCTAAGTACAGCATTACCTGAAGCAGCTGCAGGAAGGCCTCCAGGGGCGGCTCCGTCTCGCCTCCAGCCCCGGTCTCTCTCTGCGTTGGGCTTCTCGCAGCACTCTCCTTTTTTTCCTTCCGGAACTACTCAGGAAGTGAGAGGTTCCATACGGAAGCCTCCGTCAGGGTCCCCGTCACGCCCCTCTCTCGTTCTAGTGGAGGCGACGTAGAGTCAAGGTCCTGACCCTTTTTTTCTTGTGTTACATAATTGTCTTACGTCAGGAAATCATGTATGTATATACGTGTATGTATATATATATATATATATATATATATATATATATATATATATATATATATATATATATATATATATATGTATATATATACACACACATGTATATACATTCATTCACTTATACTTTTTCGTATTGGTGTCTGCCGGGAAGTAAGAAAGGGTCACGGCAAAGGACTGGTTCGAGGTCACACCGAAAGGGTCGTCGGCGAAGCGGGTCGAGGCCGCGCTGGTCGCGGGTGCCTCCCCCAAGCACCCGGTCCAAGCGCGGAAGCCAAAGCAGTGGGTTCTGGAAGGACTCCGTCGGAAGAAGCGGACGCAAGGACGCAGGAAGTAGGTAGGAAGGGGCCATGGGTCTTTCGCTGCCCATGGAACACTCTGTCTCTTCTTTGGCTCTCCTCAGCTGCCAGGCACTCTTTGGCACAGTCCGCGTAGGCAGTGTTGACGAAGCGGTGCCACTTGAGCGTCCGTGGTTCGACCTGACGTCAGAGACTACTCTCTGACCGAACAGCCAAGAGGAACCCCTCTACATAGACAACACATAGGACATTCAGACACTCGTGTAACAATCAAAAAGAATTTCGTATACAAGTTACACATTTTCTTCTCTCGGCTTCCGGGAGTCGGCTGCCAGCCTGAGCAACGGCCATTAAGGCAGGCCAACTCATCACAGTGTTTGTTTTCATCACAGGCTTTGCGAAACGGTCTTCGCAACAGCCATTCGCAAAAACAATTTAATCACATCTAGGTTTCCATTCCCCCCACTTCAGCTTTGATTGTGGTATCGGTCTTTATTGTAGTTGTCTTTCTTTCTTTCTGTTTTCTTCCTATCTTGTCAACATGACTTGCATTTCGCATTGCATCCTATTTTCATTTCTATTTTCATAACAACCTTTCCTCTTATTTTTTTCTATTCTGTTTTCCAATCTTAAGCTAATTTTGTTTTCACTTCCATTTTGCTTTGATATTTGTTTCTTTATCATTAAATGCTTTACATATGTTTTGCAGGAATGACGAGGTATATTGTGTTTCCTCAATAGCGTTGGCACTTCCACGGTCAGCTGATGTGTCTCACTGCTGTCGCCCCTTTCAGCTACTGTCAGCTGTTGTCCCTCTTTTCCTCAGCTGACTCGTACACTGAGAAAGAGAGAGAGAGAGGGCAGCGAGTGTTAACGTGATTGCAACATTGGTCATGCTGATGGTCACTATAAAGATATTAATCATAATAAGCATTTTTGATGGCAATGATGTTGCTAGTGACAGCAGATAGATATCATTAGAATAATGGCAATAGTAGTAATAATCATATGAATTACCATAATGATAGTGGTACTAATAATGAATTTGAAGATTAAATCAGTGATAATAACAGCAGCATTAACTACGGTAGTACGGATGTTTGTGTTGATAATGACAACAATATGAAATAATATATAATTACTGTAATAAGCGCTGGTAATATTGATATTAATGATAATAAAAGTAATAATAATGACGATGACGATAATAATTATGATAATACTAATAATAATCTTAGCAACGATGATAACAATGAAGATATTGATGGTGATGATGATGATGATGACGATGATGAGGGTCATCATCATCCTAATAATAATGATAATGATAATTATGATACTAGTAGTAATTGTAATGATAATAATAATCATTATCACCATCATCATCCTTATCATCATCATCATAATAGTAGTAGTAGTAGTAGTAGTAGTAATGATAGTAAAATTATTAATAATAATTGTGATAATAATAACAATATTGTTGTTATTATTATTATTATCATTATTATCATTATTATTATAATTGTCACTGCCACTATCATTATTATTATTACTATCATTATTATTATCATTATCACCAACAACATCACTGTCATTATCATTAATGTTATCATCATCATCATTATCATTGTCATTATCATTATTATTATTATCATTATCATTATTATCATTATCATCTTTTTTATTATTATTACCATTATCAATATAATAGAGATAACAATAATCAGAATTGCCAAATCCATCCTAGCTCTCATCAAAATCATTATCATCACCATTATTACAACATTAACATCATTATCGTCACAATTCATCATATTACCCCCAGTTTCTCCATATAATTTTTACTAGCACTATCATCACATCACCACCCTTTGTTTCTTCCCCACCATCACAGGCTAACACGTACACGGGCGGACACATACATGCACGTGCGTGTGTTTGCAGCCTGGCTCGAGGTCTCACAAACTCCCCTATCTGACGTGCGGATGGCCCTTGAGTGAGGAGCAGCAATCCTCGCAACTTATGCATTGCAGACGTACTGGCTCTCCCGGGTGGGTTTTCTCGCTGGTCTTGTCTGTGGGCGTGCACGAGGGAGGTGAGGGTTTAGAGAGATGGGCGGGGTTTCAGGTGTGGGCGTAGGGGGGTCGTCTTGTTGTTAGGGTTGTTAGTATTGTTTAAGGGTTGGGGGTTTGGTTGAGGTCTTGCGGCGTGCATGAGGTGTTTGTGATGGTGTGGGTTGAGTTGCGGTTGGGGGTTCCTTTGTTTTGGTTGATGTTAGTGGTGACATGGTCTGCAGTGTTTTTGTTAGTAAGAGAATTTACAGTTTTGTTAATAGGAGCATTTGGTTATTTGTTATTGCAAAGTCTACAGTTTTCAACGAGAAATCTTAATTTCTCAGTTGGTGAGAAAAGCTACATTTTTTTTTTGTCAAGAAGAGATATTATACTGTTAACTCACCTGTCTGGAGGTAGAGCGGTTGCTTGGAGGCGAGGATGGCGCGGCTGCCATCGGGGCTCCGGGCGTGGTTGAAGGACGAGGTGGCGATGGTGGAGGGCGCCGAAGGGTCGTCGAAGGTAGCGCCGGGGTACTTGGAGGGGCGCCAGGGGGACGAGCAGGACATGGCGTGGGCGGCGGGCGCCCCGCCGTGGCCCTGCAGGAGGCGGCCCTGGTGCGAGCCGTTCCACGACGTGAGGCGGAAGGTGTGCGTGGAGCGGCCGTTGGTGAGGAGCCGCGACTCGCCGAACACCGTGTTGTTGGCGAAGGCGCCCGACTCGGCCATGGCCGTGTCGCGCGCCGCCGACGCCGCCAGGATGCGCGAGCAGAACATCTTGAGGAACAGCTTCCGGAACTTCTGGCCGAAGATGCAGTAGATGATGAAGTTGACGGACGAGTTGACGGTGACGAGCAGGTTGCTCAGGATGGTCAGCTCGTCGATGGCGATATCCAGGAGCTCGAGCACGTTGATGATGAAGGCGAGGACGTTGCACACGATGAACACCGTCACCACCACCAGCAGCATCACCGCCAGCCCGATCTCCTTCTTCTCCAGCCGGCTCAGCCGCTGCCGCTCCATGTTGGCGGCGCGGACCTGCGCGAAGCCGGGTCATTAGCGGTCGAGGCGCACGCGGCAGAGCAGTGGCTCGCTCTTCGGGCTCAAGCTCTCTAATCGTCTAATGTCTAATCGTTTAATGATGCGTGCCCTAATATATCAGTGATATCTATACAGGATGTGTGTATTTTGAAGATAGTGATAACTGAGATTAAGTAGATAATAGATAAGACAAGGCAGCTATACTAACAAACAAATATTTTCCTGTTATCACTTACTAAAGCGAGCTTCTCTATATTTAATTTAACCCCAAAGAAAATAACCCTTTCTCTTTCTCTCTCTCCCTCCCACTCCCTCTCTCCCTTCCACCCCTTCCCTTTCCCCCCCACACATCCCTCCCTCCCTCCCTTTCCCCCTCCCCTCCCCCCACCCACCCTCACCCTCTCCTCTCCTCCCCTCCCTCTCCAACCAAACTCACCTCCCTGTAGATAAACGTATTGAAGATCATGAGGCTCAGGAACGGGATGAGGTACATGATGAGAAGATACATCCACATGATGTACACCTGCTTGTAGTAGTCGTTCTGGCGGAGCTGCGACGGCACGACGATCACGAAGGAGATGTCCTCGAACTCGCACACCTGGGTTGGGGAGGACAGGGACTAATTAGGGTGGGGCTTAATTAGGGTATATGCTAATTAGGGGTGGGGCTTAATTAGGGTATATGCTAATTAGGGTGGGGCTTAATTAGGGTATATGCTAATTAGGGTGGGGCTTAATTAGGGTATATGCTAATTAGGGGTGGGGGTTAACTAGGGTGGGGCTT